TTATTCTGGCTACTTTGGGCTGTATTTATACCTTGATGTTTAGCTCAGATTGGACCTCGTGTATATATTTATATACTTACTTTTATCTGTGTGTTCGCTGTGATTGTCGGGTAGTGTGTAGTGACCAGCCGGGTCGTTACACTATTGTGTTATAATATTACGTTATTTTACAATACAAATTGATATATATATATATATATATATTAACTTATTAAATGTAAAAGTTAATATTTTTGATGATTTTTTTATGTTTTAAAAATAACTGATACATGAGTTTCCTTACCATTTTGGTTTGCCAATAATAAGTTAACAAAATTTTAGTCCATTATTAATGTTATGTTTGATAGAGATGAAATAAATAGTGGTAAGAGATGATAAGAGAAAAGAAGAAAAGTAGATAAAAAATATGAAATATAAATAAAATTATTTGGTAAAAAAGAAGTAGGAGAGAATTTAAGTTAATTTTTAAGAGATTATTTAGTTTAGAAACAAATAAAGTCATTATTACTATTATTTTATTTAATATATATTATCATTTTTTAATTAAAAATAAAAATGTATATATAAAATCAGTTATGTTGTTTAATGTAATTAATTGTGCATGTATATATACGTACATAATCGATTATGAATGTTACAAAAGTCATAGTTCATTGTATTTCTTTGCAAAAATGTGAAGAAGTTATTTTGGTATTGAACATTGTAAAGTTGCTACAGTGTTATAATTATTTCAAGTCATTTTATGTAGTTAAATTTAGTTCCTGATCAACATTCTAGAGAGAGGGCTTTAAAGAAAGGTGTTATGGTTCGTGAGCTTCCTTCAACTCCAAATCTTATTCTCTTTATTTCTTTATCCTTATTAATGTTGTATTGTTGTTGGATTCAGGTCAATAGTTGCAAAGATTGATTGGGAGAGTTGTAGAGATGAGAGTTATCTTCTTCTTCCTCGGTTAGTTTCAGTTATGAGGTAAGAAAAACTAGACTTATGTTTTTTTCGTCATATGTTGGATTTGTTGGATGAGTATGGTGTTGAACATTATTTGGAGTTTGAACTACTATGGCTGAGTTGATTGAAATGGTGAAAAGTGTGTGAATGTTGAGGCTTGAGGTTTATGAGAATGAATATGATGAATTTCTATGTGTTGATTGTTGCATTTTGGTTTTTGAGCTAGTTTTGAATTGCTTGTGTTTGGTAGAGTCGATATTCCATTTTGCATGTGTTGATTTCTTGTTACATTTTAGGTTTTGGGTCAAAATCGAGTTTTGCATATGCAAAATTTAGATATCGCATCAAGTTTGTCTTCATGGTGCCAAACGTCATTTTAGTTTGAGGTTTTTTGTCTCGATCATGTCGGGCACATGATCGATGGCACCAGGCATAGGAGAGAGACTCGTCTCCTGTTGGAACGATATCAAACGTTGTTTGAATGCCGCTGGGTGTGATAATGTTGGGAGGTCTCTAACTTGGTGATGTTGGACCCAAAGTTGAGTGGTGTATGGCCAAGCCAGAGGTCTCTACCTAGGTAACGTCAAGCGCTGGTATGGCAACGTTGGGCATGAAATAGGCAAAAAATCTATGCCTAAGGGTGGGGCTAGGCGAAGAACTTTACCACGCCAAGTGCGAAGACTTAGGGATCTTTGTCTTAGCCACATCGAGTGCAGGTTGTGTAGTGTCGGGTGTGGGTGAGGCAAATAACTCCTAGTTTAGATGGCATCGAGTGTTGGATGTGTAGGGTCGGGTGCTGGTTGTTGAAGAAAAACATGTCGATATAGTTGATGGAGTGTTGAATACTCATTGATTTAGTTGTTAAATGAATAAATGATGAATAAGTTGTAGAGATGATGTTGTATGCGATAATTGTGTAGTGAGTTGTTAGTTGAAAAGTTGAATGAGTTAAGATGTATGTTGTGAGTTATAGAGTTGATTGTTATTTGTGTAGTTGTGTTGAATATGTAACAAGTTACTGTGTTGTTGATATGGTGAGTGTTGAAAATGCTTCATGCATTTATGCATAGTATTGTTGAGTTGTGATGACCAACTTAGGACTAGAGGGAAAAAAATTTTAAGTTGCATTTCCATTGTGTGGATATTGTGTTGTTGTATTCCGAGAGCCCAATTTGTTAAAAATCCTTATTGAGAAGTCGACCCTTGAAATGGATAACTTTGATGAGTCTTCTCTAGAACTTAGTTGGTACCGTTTATGGGAAAGTTCGAGGCACGCGTGTATGAAGCGACCACAATATAGGGGTCAAGTTAAACTATATTGATTACAAGCGACCAATTGAGTAAAGTATGAAGTTGGAAACTTAGTTCCTAAATGAGTACCAAAAGAGCGTAGTATTTAGAGAGTAGTCAGTGGGCTAATCTCATAAGAGCCTTAGTTAAGCTAGCTAATGCCATGGTAGACTCATATCCAGTCGTTCTACCTTGACAATAGTACTAGACTTCCTCGTTTAAGTGGTGACATTCGAGAAATTGGGTTGTTGTGTTGTGAATTTATATCTATTTTGTTGTTCATATAGCAAGTCCAAAAAGTTCAACCCGTGTTATTAGTTCGGTAGGGTCAAGCTACTTAAATTGCTTACCTTGTAATATATAAGATCTCTTAGATGATATGTGTGATGACACATGTAGTTATTGTGTTGTTGTGATGATTTATTTGTGTTGAAATTATTGTGATGATTGAGCTAATATTGTGTTTTAGTAGAATGAGAAGTTATGTTGATAATGTTGAAGTTGAAATGAGATGGGTTGATGTATTAAAGTTGTTGATGTTATGTTGTATGTCGTATATATGTTGCTGCTTTAAACTCTTACTTACCCTTGCGTGTTTTTATAAGGTTTGAATTGTGAATATCATACGTGGTATGAGAGTAAGGTAAGGATTTGTATAAAGTTTTGCAGTGGGGGCCTTATAGGGGCCTAGGAGCGAGATGTCTTTTGATGACTATCTTTTGTGGTGGTTTTATTTAACTTTGTAGAAGTTGCTTGATCGGCAACTTAGGTTATATGATTTGCATTTACGAGATTTCTATATTCATATTGCACACACTTACGTAGTTATTTATCTTTATATGTATACAATATAGTACATGTTCTTGTATATGTAGATCTATAATCCTAAGTTAGTTATCTTTTTCGTTGTTAGTAGTTGTGTTGTTTAGTGTAGGAACCATGATAGATTATTACATGTATGACTTTTTCTCTCATGGATCTTCATCCTTCTATTTCATCTCTTTGAAACAACTTTTAAGAGGGCCTTCTTCACTCTCTCATTCTCTTTTGCTTTCATTCTTTTACTCCACACACATAATAAATTAGCATATTCAAGCTAACTTAAAATGTCTCTAATCACAAACTAAATGTAAAAGACTTATGATATTTTCATCTCTTATTTACTAAATACATTTTTATCGATATAAAATTATTTAAATGCCTTTTTGTTAAATTTGTTTTCTCAAATAATCTTCTATCATTCTATTCTTCAACACCTTCTTTTCTTCAAAAATTTATGTGTAAATAATAATTTCTGAAATTTTATTTTAACAAAAATAACACCTAATTTTGCAAATACATAAATTATTTATTTATTTATTTATATGCAACCTATCACTTAAAAATGTCAATTTCAGATATGTAAAAGTAGTATTAAAAATGATAAAGTATTATTGAATAAAAATAGAATATAATACAATAATTCTTTATTCAATATAGGAGATAAAATTAAATTTTACTATTTTTATAAAGAAAAAGAGAGGAAAAAAATAAATGCAAACAAATTTAAAAGAATAATAAATAAGAGATAAAAATATAATTTAAAAAATAAAAAAAATAAAAACATAAAAAGTATGACTTAAAAAATAATGAATATCCACTCTATTCATTGCTAGAGAAATGAATTACAAAATAAAAAAGTAAGAAAGATGAACTGATAGACAAACAACAAAAGATAAAAATAAATAAGAAAATAGAGGTAAAAAGAGGCGTGAAAGGAAAAATAATATTTTCAAAAGATAAATTTGAAAATTATTTAATAAATTTTATCTTGTAAAAAAGGAAAGAAAATACATTTATTAAAAATGAAAGGTGTAAATACTATTTATCAATATATTGTTTTTTCTCATAATATAATGCATTTTATATAAATTTAGAAAAAGTTATAAAATTAATTTTATTAAATGTTACAATACACGGCAACATTCTTAAAAAAAAGTATTATTAAGAGTTTAAATGAAAAAAGTTAATCTTATACTAAAAGAAGTTAAAATCACAACCTGTTTCTTTTTTCTCATAAGATATTAATTGAGATAGAAAAAAAAATTATTTAAAATAAAAAATAATAAAACAGATGCAATTATAATTACAATTTTAAAACCATAATTAAGAACATATATTACAATTTTATGATTTGTAAGAAAGCAAAATACTTGCAATTTGATGTAACAGAAAGGTAAAATTGAACAGGCGCCGAAATTGCAGAGTCATCTGGACTCTAGTAGACAGGATCTCTACCCGAAACATATCCCAAATCTTGGACATATAAATCTTTAATCTAATCTCTAATGTGTCACCTCATAGGTAACACACCTTAGACAAAACAAATGAAATTTCCCATCTTCTATGCTTCTATTCGTCTCTTCAAATTTCAAGCACCCATAACCATTATAAAATCCATCCCAATAAATTAAAATTTTGGATCCTTACTCACTCGTTACACACGCATACGCTTCGTGTTTGCGTATTCAGGTCCCGGGCGTAATAAAAACAAAAATTGAAAAATAAATTAATTAATAAAAAAAAAAGTGGAAAAAGCTGCTACGGTTCTCTGCTTTGTCTCCTGCTGCCACTTGCCACCTTGCAAGACCTACCTTCCTATTCACGACGCAAAAAAAAATAAAATCATATCCTTTTAAAAAAATTGAAATTAAAATAGAAAATGAAATTGTCATTTATTTTAATTAATTAATTAATTAAAATTTAAAACCCTTCAAAACAAGAACACCTCACTCTCACTCTTACTCAACAACAGGAACAAATTACTCTTGGAGTGAGTTCGGATTATTACCACAATGCGATAGATAGTGAGAAAGTGGTAATGACGCTGGCGATGATGATAGAAGAAGACGAAGACGCAGAAATAGAGCACGTGTTTATTGCTCATGAAATTGACCTCGATTACGAGTTTGATGCAGCTCGCTTCTTCGATTTCACTCGACCGGAGACTCCTGCAGAAGCTCACGAAGCCGAACTTTGGTTTCAAAATGCCGCTAGTTACCCTCCTTCGCGTCAGTCCTTTTCTCTTTCTCATATGTTTTTCAAATATTTACACGAAGCTTTTTTTTTTTTTTTTTTATTTTTCATTCATCTTCTGCGAAACTGATTAATGCCTTCATTTTCCCCTTTTATTTATGGTTTCTTCGTTGAGTTCGGTTTATACTTTCTCTCTTGCTGTTGCTGCTGAAATTGCGCAAACTCGTGCTGTTGTTTTTCTGCTTCAGCTTTTGTGAGAAGGCTAGTGGCGAGAGAGGAGTTGTTCTTGGAAGACGTTTGCGATTCGCCCAAGTCCGAGTATGTGGAATGCACGAGTAATGTGGATGATGAAAAATCTAGTGTTCGGTTAGGGATGGGGTTTGCGGACACGGCTTTCGACAATTATGGTATGGCTTGGCAATTTTACTTTGTAGAATGCCATTTCCTTGTTCTGTACTTCTGTTGAGTTTTCTCTATCATTCTGCAACTCTCGTTCTCATTGAGAGTACACTAAAACGACGTTCCCATCAACTTGCTGTCTTATATTTGTATTTTCTATTTGTCTTGCTAGTGCTTCCTTTTGACTGAATTATTGAATATTTACACCTTAGGTGATCCAATTGATCTGTATTTAGTTGTTATCTAAAAACAATTTAATTTAAAAAACTGTCTGCAACTGCAATTTCAGCACAACCTCAGTCAAGGTTTTTGAGCTCCACATCGGTCACATTTTCGTGCAATGAGGCTAGTGGCGAGAGAGGAGTTGTTCTTGGAAGACGTTTGCGATTCGCCCAAGTCCGAGTATGTGGAATGCACGAGTAATGTGGATGATGAAAAATCTAGTGTTCGGTTAGGGATGGGGTTTGCGGACACGGCTTTCGACAATTATGGTATGGCTTGGCAATTTTACTTTGTAGAATGCCATTTCCTTGTTCTGTACTTCTGTTGAGTTTTCTCTATCATTCTGCAACTCTCATTCTCATTGAGAGTACACTAAAACGACGTTCCCATCAACTTGCTGTCTTATATTTGTATTTTCTATTTGTCTTGCTAGTGCTTCCTTTTGACTGAATTATTGAATATTTACACCTAAGGTGATCCGATTGACCTGTATTTAGTTGTTATCTAAAAACAATTTAGTTTAAAAAACTGTCTGTAACTGCAATTTCAGCACAACCTCCTCAGTCAAGGTTTTTGAGCTCCACATCGGTCACATTTTCGTGCAATGTCAAGCATTGAGATGAAACCACAACCATGACCACAATTTTAAACCTTGTTATTAGCGTGTTTTCTATAGCTTAAACATTGGGCGAATAATCGTTTATCTTTCTTAAGCTCTCTCACCAAAGTAGCAAAAATAATTAGTTTCTCTAAAATAAACTTGAACCAAGAACACTACGTAGTTTGTGTTAAAAAAATGCACCCAAAACGGAATATTTTTTCTGGCCCCGGTATGTTCTGTATCTGCATCTGTAGGGTCCCTCACTCCCTCTGCTGGTAATCACGTGGAGCTTGATTAATCGTTTGGGCTTTGCATTTCCGTGTTTTAACTGATGGTTGAAGTTGATCTAATAAACAGTTAAGGTTGTTGATGGTGGACATGCTTTTGCCACCTGCTATTTAGCAGTGCAAAAATGTACCTGCCTTCGATTTGTACAGGCCTTAGTGTAATTTTTAAATTATCCCTCAAAGGTTTCATCGAGGTCCTTTCTAAAATACTGCTACAATGACTTGCACACAGTACATATGTCTATTTCTCTGTAAGCGATAAGTAGAAAACTTTATTATGTAATGGGCTTATGTCATAATACAGTTATCCTGTATCCAAGCTTTCTAGTTTCTATACTGAAAGCAAATTTGAAATGTTCTGAAGCACTTGCAATATTATTTAGTTTTAGTCAGAGTTGTGCTCTTCACTTGTTGGTGATTCCCTCTTCCCTGTAATTGTTAGGTTCTAAAGCACCTGGTGAAAATATCTCTAGCTTGTTGGCCGGAATTCTGCAAAATGATGGTACAAGGCCATTGCAAGTACCTACAGGTAACAATCTGATACCATGATCCAGATGCCAATCTGAGGACTGTAAATTTTTAGCGGCTTAGCATCTTATAATCCTCATGTGAAATAAAGTATTGGTTGTTAGTTTCTCAACTGCAGTTTTGGTATCGTGAATTTCTTTCTGTAAATTCTATTTACAATAATACAATCATCATAATATTGTTAGATATGCAATCCTTATTTATATTTATGTTGCAATTGTCTCTTGTGCTATGGTAATTTTTGGTACAAACTGTAGTTTAATTATAGCCAAGGATTAACTCTTCCAAAAGCAAAGATGGAGACAATGTATGATCCCACTTTATCTTGTGCTGATATTTAATTATGAAGAATTATGGTGGAAGGGATCAAATTCCTTACCACTTCGTCATTTAGGCTCTAATACTATGTCAATAACTAACACTCCCAAACGCTTAAGCTGTTAGGTGGAAGCACATGAGTTGTTTTATATGATTATATCTTTAACACATGGCATTATCTTTTACTCTGCATATGTTATTCATAACAATATGCTTCATTTTCTCTATCTATCTGCCTCCATCCTCTTCCCTTTACCTCAACTTGTTTATTCTCTTTCTGCTTGACATCTATTTTGTCTTTTTCTAGGACTTACCTTTGGCAGTAAGACAATCAGCAACAATTTGAATTCTATGGCCAAATCTGCTGTGCCAAAGAGTTCAACATTAATGAAACCTACAGCTAGTCAATTGGCGAAGCAAAATCACCCTGCTAAAAAATTTGGTTCAAGGTGATGATTAGAATAAATTATCATTTTTAAAGAAACATGGTTTTTTGGGGTGTGGTAGTTGTAGGACTAGGATGACAGTATGAACTGCCATTTCATTTTAAATGCTAATTTCATAGCATTATCCTACACTACAGCTTGCTAGTTAAATCAATTGGGATGCATTAATTTTATTGCTTGTTAATGGGCCACCTTACAACTACAACTCTTCCATTTTCAGATTTCAGAAGCCGCGAACTCAGAATGAACAAAATTTATCTATCTCTTCCGGGGTAGAAAATCAAGCTGCCAAGCGGCAAAAATTAGAGGGTGGTCTCTTGTGTAAGGTCTGCAAGAAGTTTTATTCTTTGTTCTCTGGTTTTATAACACTTGAAGAAACTACATTCATATTTTTGTCTTCTTGAAGTTCGTAGATATATGTCAGAGATTGATCATAAAGTTTGACTATTTATGCTCTTCGTATTAAGTTTCAAATGATGCATCTTAACGAAGATTATCCTAACAATGTGTTACATTTGTGTGCATCAGAATTGCTCTAAGGAAGTTGTGAGAGATTAGTTGATATTTTCATGGCTAACATTGCAATGCATTAGTACAATTACATTTAGGGTGTGTTTGAGAGTTGGGTTTCGGAGAAGGGAAGAGAGGGAAAGTTACTTCATCTATTCATTATTCACTATTTTGTTTTGGTCCATGGACATGGTAAACATAGTAATTCTAAAACTTACAACTAAGGGCTAATTTGCATTCTTGGGACGTGACTTTTGCTATTCAAATGTTATTTTAACACAAATTGAAATCGAACTTGGGAGCATTATTCACTATTTTGATAATTTTTATAAATGGTAGAAATAAAATGATAGTTTAGCACAAACTTAATGTCACAATCTTTTGTTTATTTCTATTTTCTATAAATAGTTTGTAGCTTTCTTTATTTAAGAAAAAAACTTGTCCTCCCTTCCTGTTCTCTCCAAATCCCACTTCCAAACATACCCTTAGTCTTCAATGTTTGGGAAGTAGTGTGGAAGTAATTGAAACATGGGCCAGGAATTCAAATGGAGCTTAAGTAATATTGACATCACATTTATTTTAGACAGGGCATTTGAAATTCTTATTGCATTGTCTCTGTGACAGGTTTCTGATATGAAGCAGCAAAACAATTTTTTCCACAAGACACCGATGAGGGTATGAATCCTAATGCAGAATTGTTGAATCTTCTCTTGTTAAAAGTAGATTATACAAATATTGTCAAGTACCCTCTTCATATGAATTGCATGGTACTCATATTTTGTTCCTTCATATCCTCTTCTTTATTTGATTTTACAGAAAGAAGTAATAATAAACATTTTATTTTCCTTGATACAACACTGTTGTTGAGTGGGGATTTGTTAATGGTTAAGGATATCCTCTATTAAGTACCTTAACTGAAATGGGAAGAGCAAGAGCCTTTCATATCTTTAAGGGAGAGGGTCTTATTTCTTAAGGGGCAGGGAAGAGGATCACGTGATAGAAATTTGTAACTTCTTGCAGGCTGTCACTGTTGAACAAAACTCTTCAGGTTCCAAGCTGAAGCTTACTATTCCAAGGGAGCCTGACCTTAAAACTGCACATAGAGCACAAAGGATAAGGTTTATGATTGTGGATGTTTATTGATCACTGAAATTTTTGATGGATTTTCTTCTCAAGATAAATAGACATTGAGAAATACTTATGCTTTGCAGACCCAAAAATGTTGGAGAGGCAGAGCATGTGACAGTTGCTGCTCCCAGATTCAAAGCCCGCCCGTTAAATAGAAAAGTTAGTTATTTCTGTAGATATAATTGTTTTTGTTTGGTTAATTTTGATGCATTGTTGCCATTGTCTCCTCTAAATAATGTTCACAATCTAGATCCTTGAGGCTCCTTCATTGCTACCTCCCAAAAGGAGCACTCCAAGGTTGCCTGAATTTCAGGTAAGCTTGAATTCTGATGTAACTTTCTCTATTCAGCCATATTTATTGCCGTCCCATCATTAAGGCATATAACTGATCCAACAATTATTTTGGAAATCATTTTTTGTGTTATTTATCTTGAACTTCAGGTCTTCTGTATATACTTTTCAGGAATTTCACTTGAAAACTTTCGAGAGGGCCATACAACACACATCTGCTACATCATCTGCACTTCACTGCAATGATTCTGATAAGGTTAATTTAATTTAGTTCGTACAATTTCAAGTGTTAACGTTAGTATTTTTTTTTTTTTTTTATTGATTTGCATTTTCTTGTTTTACACAATAGATATGATTAGTTCTTCAGAAACCAAACTTATCTGGTTGCAGGGTTGGGACAAGCATACTGCTGTTTCTGCTCTAGAAAATAGAGTCAGGGATCTAAGAAGGTAATAAATGCCATGATAAATGTTCATTTTAATTTTTTGACCGTTCATGAAACAATGGTACTAACTGCAAAAATTCTGTCTGTCTGTCCATAGACCAACTGCCATGGGTGCACCAACTTATGATGGACTGGGTAATACTCGTATTTTTAAAGTTCGGCCTTTTAATAAGAAGGTAATGAGACATCAATAGTAATTTTTGATAGGATAAATGATAATAACTTGTTGGCAAAGAGTAAAATGTGAAACTGAATTATACTCTTCGGTGGATGGTGCTATAATTCTAAATTTTTTCTATTTGAAATGGTTTGTGCAATCTTATACTTCAATGAAAACATAACAAAACTTTAATTGACGGTGTAGTGTTTTTAAACCATTAAACATTTGTAATTATCACCTTTATAATAGTATAGTATAACATTCACTAATAGATATATCACTATCAAAACTGATTTATTAAGGAAAGCTATTCACATTCAAGGCAGAATTTACTTAAATATCATGTACAGCAAAAATATTATGGGATTATATTGACTAAAATATAACATTTTGATTTATAAACATATAAATAATACTATTTTCCTTTCTCAAACTGTGTCTTGGTGTCAGGATTTGTTGGGATGTAAAAACATAATTTAAGATGGAATTTAGTAATAAATGAAGCAATATAATTAATTACCAGCCAGTTTTAGTTATGATGAAGTTGCAAGTAAAACACACGTTATGCAATTTTTTGTGAACCACTGATATTTTCAATTTCACTTGTCATTCTTATATATCTTTTACCTCAAATTTTCTTTCAAAAACATTAATGTAAATAAGTCTTGAGAAAAAAAGAGGATATTTTTATTATTTTAAAATCCTATCAAGGATGTACATGAAAATATTTTAGAGTATCAAGAAAACTTTCCAGTAGAACTCAATTTTTGTACACAATCCTAGAGTCAATATAAGTAAAAATATTGTACGAAAGTATGATGTATTGAGGTGACTCCAATTAGTGCATCTTATTTTCATTTCTTTATTATAGATAAACTATAACTATGAGAGTAATCTGTCTTCTAACTTCTAAAAGAGATCCAAAGATGTCTGAAGTTCGGATTCTTGTGTTCTCCCTTTTGTATATAATTTTGTTTTTTGTATTTAATTGTCTTTATTCTTCCGAAATGTCTGACTACAGATACTTCCAAGTAAAGGAGATGTTGGTGTTTTCCATATCAGCAAACAGGAAACAACAGTCCCAATGGTGAAGCATAGTGTTTCTTTGGTTTTCTCTTCCCCATGATTCTGTGTTTTTTAGGTAGAAAATTTTATTGATATTGCAACTTGCTTCAATTCATACAGGAATTTGATTTACAGGCTGAAAAGGAGGTTCAACATAACCCACCAATTGAACTCTTTAGCAAGGTAAAGAATTTATGCTTTTTTTTTTTCTTTTCCATTTTTAATTTTTATTTCAGGCTACCTTTTTCTTTTTTTTACCTTGATGCAATTTCTTTGATTAATTCTCGAGCCTTGCAATACAATTGAAGTGTTTTGCATTCTAACTTTATCGCCTCAAATTTCAAGTGGTGTAGTTATTTACCATAAAGATTTTCCACGGTTTCTCAATCTTTCTACTTTTCTTGATATGTTAGCTGTCTCTGACATCTGAAGGCCAGCCAAATAATGGATCTAATTTTAAACTGCCTCAGCATTCCGGGATGTGTAGAAAGGTATACCCTCTACAATTATTTTTGTATAAATTATCCTCTAATTTTGAATTACGTGTAATGATCTTGGACTATTTTTCTTTCCTCTTTTCATTGTATTGAGTTATTTGTTTCTTGGTGCAAGGACTCAAAAGAAAATATATTAAATTCTTTTCGTCCGAACCAAGAGGTAATATAACATATTAAGTATAGCAGTGTCTGAAGAACACGATTTCTGTTGAGCCTTTGCTTTTCGTATCATTTTTTTTAAAGTTCTGCACTATCTTTTAGTGATTCGTCATAAATGACAAATTTCATCACCTGAGGCATGATGCAGGAGAAGGCTTTTATGTTAGGGGCAAACCAAATTCCTCGAGGGAATGACGGTTGCATGAGTCTGATGAATGCAAGGAGGTACGGAGTTGATACTAATGTTCATGTTTTATGTTGAATACGAATTACACCACGAAACAAAAATTGATTATTTATATATTCGACATTCTAACTGATATGATCCAGGAGCTTGGGAATTCGGTGACATTAAACTTGGATTTTTGTTGCTGACATGAAGATTGACGATACTTAATTCAATAGTTGAATCTGACCGTCGCCTAACAACTCTTTGCGGATGATACTATGATAGGTGTATATTTTTTTTGTACACAGAATCTTAGATTTTTTTTAAAGAAATTAACATGTCTAGGTGCACAGCTTGTATCTTCTATAACTGCCCCTGATCCTAATCCATAAAATATATTGTTAAAGGCGAGTGTTGCACTGTCTTTAAGTTATACCAATAGGGATGTAAGTAGGTTGCGGTGGTTAAGTTTAATCACTTTAGGATTCAATTTAATTAAATACAATAAAGTTGAATTAAGTGGGGCTTATAATTTTTCAATAGATCCAATCTAATTTAACCTAACTATAATTGAGTTACCTTACTATAATTGAGTTATACTGAGTTGGGTAATTGGTTTGATCAATTAAATTGGTTTGATCAATTAAAATATTGTTAAATTAATTTGCAAGGATTTTTTTATAGTTTTGTAAAGTTTATAATTAGGTTTCTATGGTTAAAAACATCTTTAAAAGGCTTTTATAGTTTAAACACCCATATTATAATGCATAAAGTAAATAAAATTGAATAAGAAATTTATCTTAAATGTGATCCAAAAGTTTAACAAAAGAGTAACACATTTTAACAAACAAAATCAATTGAAAAATCTAATAAAATCTAATACAATAGGATAATAATTGTCTAAAAATATAACAAAAGAAAATATTAGGTCACACTCTTATTACATTCTACATTAGAAGTTGTTAGGACATTTGTGTTGCAAGATTTCCATTCCATGCACACATTAAGTGAAATTAGGATTTCTCAAACTCAACTATCTCTAAGGGTTGATTCCCAAGTTTTTACGTAAGGGATTCTTCTCCTTCCAAAATAAGTATGCATATGATGCATGTCAAAAAAGACTCGATGCATTTATCACCTTATGACAATACAATTTCATCATTATACATCAATTCTTTTTCATCATATAATTATGTCATGACTAAGTTTTGCTTAGACTTATCATCATATTAAGATACAAATATAACACATCTTTCAATTTATCCATGGTCCTCAATAGTATACTCAAACACATTAACTGGGCATTATCAATATATTGCACAAGAATATTACTCATAATCAAATATTGATTACGAATCAAGAAAACGTGATTTGCAAAAGGGCTTTTGATGGTAAGCGTTCTACATCTAGTGTAGAACCTTCAAAGAGCAACATTGCTCTCAGGTTAAATTGTGTTCGACGTGACCAATTTCACATTCGACATAAATACCATAAGAAAGCCCCTAAAGCTTCAACACTTGACATGGTTCATTTCATGCTTGGTGTGAGAGGCCTTGAGAACAATCTTTACTCTTGGTCTCAACAACGCCTAGCGTCTATCAAAACACATACCTCTTGCATAAAATGCGAAATATGATCTATAGTTACCCAACATTAATTTTTACAATTCAATCGCAAAAATCTTCTAAAAGTCATATTATTCTTCTTGAAGGCACCAATTACATACCATATTATCTTTTCATACAATCATCAATGCATTTCCTTAAGATTCTCATAGGAGTCCATGGACAATCTAAAATTTATGCAATTAATCCAAAACACGAAATTAATTACATAGGAATGTTAAAAACATCAATTATAATACCAAAGAATCACGAGGAAGACAAAAAATCAAGATATCCAGATTTGGGAAATTCTCCTTCATACACACATGTAACAGAGAAGAGATTAGGAGTCAATTTTATTATCTGACATACATTCTATGTCTAGAGCAAGATTATCCACTTCTCCTTACCTTGATAAATACTAGATGAAGGATGTGGATCTTTGAGGGTGATCTATTACGAGTTCTAATTCTCCTAATTTTTCAACCCAAATGCAACATGTGAGAAGTGTAAAGTGAAAAGCTGACCCGATTCTCCCTTAAAACTTAACTCCTCACTAACCCTAATGATTAAAACATTTAACTTAGGTTACATAACCCTTCCCTCAAATAATAAAATGAATGAATTAATTATAAAATCACATATATAATAAAACATTTAATAAAACCAACCCAAATCCCTTTAAAAAAAAACCAACCCAAATAATTATAAAAATAAATAATAATTAAATAATTATATTAGTGGAAAATTCAAGATGTCATGGTTAAAAATTTTGTAATTTAATTTTTTATTCATTGATGTTGTTACAATATTGTGAATTTATGTTGATCAAATAGTATAATATGATAATTAGTTTTTAATATGGTAAAAAAAAATTTCATTTGTTTTAAAAATTTCTAAGTAAACCCTTAGTTTTAATATGTTAATAACACTAAAACTTAGGATTTTTCACATTTAAATTTAAAGTATATATCAATTTTAAAACTCGTTAATTTTTTTAATTTACATTTATTTATAAAACTAAGAAAAATATGAATGAATATTTTATATAATAAAAAAATTAATAACTTTTTTTAAAAATATATTAGCTATATGTAAATATTTATCCAAAAATAATTCATTTAAGATATATGATATTAAAAATTAACTAGTATATAGCTTATGCAATATTTATATATTATGACTTATAATAAATATTTAAATTATACTATAATTATAATTTGTAATAAATAAATATAGTTCAATTTTGAATGTACGAAAGTGTTTCATTTGTGTATTTCATATATTTTCTTTTTTAATTCATGGTTGACAACTTGTATTATATTTTTTATTAATTATTTGTTATTATCATCAAATAAATATAGATAAAATATTGATAAATACATGTAAATTAAAAATAATATATTAGAGTTTAAAAAACGAGAATTTCTTTTGAAAAAAAGAAACTTTTTGTGTACATATTTAAATTTTAAACAATTTTAAAATTCAATTCAACCATGTTTCAAGTTGATTTTTATCAATGTTTTTAGGACTTTTCTAAATATTAGTTTGAGTTTAAAACTAGGATGTTAATATTATTTAAATTTTGTTTTATAGTTTAGATCTAATATAGAGTTACTTAATAATGTACATTTGAGATTCTAAGTGTGAGGGACATTCTGTACCAATTCCCTCCTTATCTAAAGAGCTTGAATGACTGTTACCGACTATCTATCTCCATGAGATTCCCTTGGAGAAAAATTCAAATTCTAAATAGATGTAGCATGTAGAAATTCAAAAGGGATTCACTTATAGAACAACTCAAATTTTCAATTAATGTAGTGGGTATTGTGTAGATATTTAAGAGACATTTTGTTAGAATTTGTTATTTATGTATCAAATGATGTTATTTAAATAAAGATAAGAATACTATTTTTTTTATCACTTAGGTTTAAGATGATATTAGTTTGAGTTTAAAACTAGGATGTTAATATTATTTGAACTTTGTATTATAGTTTAGATCTAATATAGAGTTACTTAATAATGTATATTTGAGATTCCAAATGTGAGGGTAGTTTTGTTATGTTCATGAAATTTTCATCAATGTTCGTATTTAAGGAGTTTGGAGGGGATATAAAAAAGTTTGAAATCTAGTTTGATGGGAAATCATATTCATGATTTGATAATATATCATTCAGAAGCATTAAGTGTAATAAGATTTTGATCAAATTTTGAAAGATGAAAAGTTAATTGTCATGAATGAAAAGGAAGGGATTTAGATTCAAAAGAAGGTTATGAGCATGATTCAATTAGCTTTAGCTCCTGATTTTAAGCATGTATGAAGTGGTCAACACTCTAAGAGAAAACGACAAAATTATGAGAAAAGAAAATATTGATAATGAAGGCTATACACTTTATGGAGTCTGAGTAAGGAAGAAATGATTTGAAGAGAAAAAATGGGTAGAAAAAGATCAAGCTCACAATTGTGTTTGAATTCAGTAATGTGAAGTATTATTATTATAAGCAGAAAAATTATGTGCTAACAAGGTGCACATAAATCATGGAATACTTGAAAATAATTAAGAGTTGTAAAGAGAGACGATGACAAACTCCAATTAAACATGATAAAAAAAACTTTGAAGATGAAGATTTTTTTATTGTTGATAATTACAAGATTTGTATTTTAAATTTTATAATTATAAGCAATTAAAATATTTTCATAAATTACTAGAATTTTAATTTATTTATAAATTTTATACACAAAAAAATATATTTTACTACAAGGCATTTTAAATTCACTAAAAAGGTTAATTTGTAAGGGTTTTTATTTATTTATAATTATGTTATTAGTATGAAGTATTCATTAGTTTTATTGATAACTAATCTTTATCGAGAGATATAGTTAGTTACCTTTAATTAAGTATCCCATTCCAACTTATTCGATGACCAACCATATTTATTTTTTCTTTCAAAAATATGGTTATTCATACTGCTTTTCCAATTCATAAGTGTAAATAAGACAAGTTACGACATACATCTTACTAGTTATTAGTTTAAATTTATTAAAAATTATAAATTTGTGTTTGTGTTATTCTTTATTTATTGTTTTTCACTAATGATTTTATAGTTTCTAATAATTTTTAACAATAATATAGATTATTCTAAAGAATATGTTATATTATTCTAAAAAATATGTTATTAATACTCTTCATATTTATGTATATATATTTAATACACACTATAACATTTTTTTTAAACATCCTAGTAATTGGTAGAATTTTTTTGAAAATTATAAACCTCTTGCACACACTCTTGTTTATCACATGCATGAAATTTATTGAAAATTAAAACCTTGCATGGCTCACTTTTCATTTAATGAATTTTACTAATAATTTTATAATTTTTTAAATAAATTTTAACCAATAGATTATATTACAAAGTATGTTATTATACTTCTTTTCTAATTTATAAGATAAGTGTATTTAAGATGTTTTATAATTTTTTTAAACATATATTCTCTAAAAAAATTATAATGAATTGAACTATTATATAATTTAAAAATAAATAATGTATTAGAATTTAAAAATACATAACCTAAATTCAATTTTGAATCTTTAATTTCATGAATATGTAATTTTAGTGTCAATTGGTTTTATTGCAAATTTTGTTTCTTAGTTTGCAAAATTAAGCAATGTATCTCCACTATTAATATGTCATTTAAAATAATTAGAAAATATTTGACACGTTTGTGAGTAAATAGTAATATTATTTAATAGTTACTTAGTTACAATGACTTCCATGTAATAAATAATCATAATATTG